ATAGCTACAGTTTCTAGGTTTAAATATTTGAACTATTTGAATACAGAATGTGGAAATCTCAACAACTGTAGGATTTATGATTAGAGAACAGAATGTTAAGTGTTGTAAATATTATTATTATAAATGTCATTTGTAGTTGATAATGAACAAATACTAGTATAATGAATGGCAGTTGTACATCAGTTTCTTCATCTGTAAAATAGGGATAGTAAGAGTCCTTATATCTCATACAAGTGTTGTGAGGATTAAATGAACTACTTAATGTAAAGTGCTTTGACAAGCATCTAGCATTTAATAAGTACTGAATAAATGTTATTGGTTAGTATTATTAGATCCTGAACAAAATAAATGAAATAGCTGAAGAAATAACATGAGTTTCCTTAATATATTCCCACGGACTTAATTTTGGAACAATCTTATAGAAGCTAACGTGTTTTTCATGGGGAAGAAATATTTGTTTAAAGTGAAGAAGTCCTAAAAATAAATAAATAAATAAAATAAAGTGAAGAAGTCCTGGGATTGAGTCCTGCATTGGGCTCCCTGCTCAGTGGGGAGTCTGATTCTCCCTCTGCCCCTCCCACCTGCTTGTGCTCTCTCGCTCTCTCTCTCTCTCAAATAAATAAATAAAATCTTAAAAAAAAAATAAAGTGAATTTCTTCAGTTTTGCTTCAATTTATATTCTTCAGTAAAATTAAAGGGAATACTCTCTTTTAAAAAATAGCTTATATAGTATGATTCCATTTTAATGAAAGCATATCTTTCAAAAAAAAAAAGATTCCTCCATGCATCAACCATTGATCCATCATTCTATTTTTGCATAGATAGAGACTTGCCATAAAGTTCACCAATGTTAACAGTTAATTCTGGGTGACTGAATTTTGTTGATTTTATTTTTTCTGTTATTTCAGCTTTTATTTATTTTTGAGAGAGAGAGAATCTTAGGCAGGCTCCATGTGATGTGGGGATTGATCTCACAGGACCCTGAGATCATGACCTGAGCCGAAATCAAGAGTTGGTCGCTTAACCGACTGAACCACCCAGGGGGTCACCCCTTTATAACTTTTAGTTTTGCAAAGCTTCCTAAAGGATCTTTCCTCTAGTCTTCCCTCTCCAAACCATCCCTCCTTGGTTATCAGAGGTATCTTTCTTTCTTTTTTTAAATTTTTATTTTATTTTATTTTTTTAAAGG